GAGAAAAGATAGAGGCAACCATCGAAGAAAATTTACCCCTAGTTCGATGAAAAATCGTTTTTTGGTGAGATGGCTAGCGATGAACAACCAGAAACAGAAACAGATAAATTTAGGGCAATTTTTTTCAATGTTTTGATGGATACTGCACTGAGTTAATGAGCACAAGATTTTTTAAAAATATGGATTTATGTCGAGATTTGGCTGTATTGGACCCAAAAAATTTTGAGGAAATAATATCAAACGATACAAACAAATTTCTCCTAAGAAATTATATGGAAAGGTAGTCGGCAAAAATAATGAAATATAATTCATCTGCAACTGCTGCAAATTTAGGAGAAGAAATTTTGGGCTTCGCAAAAAATTGAGGTAGGTTAAAATTGATTATTAATGAAGATAGTCATAAAATAGTTCATAACAATTCAGACTTTAATTCCGAAAACTAGGACTTTGAATTAAAAATTATCGACGTTGATGGAAAATTTTATTGGGCGGCAAGGCTCTGGCAGAAGGAGAATGACCACTGCAGCTGATAATCGCTTGGACATTGTAAGTTCTTCAAGAAATCGAAGATCTACTGCTGTGTGTTTAAAAAATGACTTGCAAATGATTCGTCGAGCATGTATAAGTAAAAAAACGATATGAAGATTGGAAGAAGCTGGGCTTGATTCAAGACGGCCATCAAAATGTCTACAATTACTTCTGTAGGCGCTAATATAACCTATAATGAAACATAAAATATCTGGGCTTGAAGAGCCGTTTTTCTATCTTGAACTTTAGATAGAAAATAGAGAATGGCTGACTAAAGTTTGATAACTTTTTTATATTTTTGACAACTCTACTCACTAATGACAATCGTAAATATAATAATCAAAACACCAGTAACATTTTCCCCCTAGTAATTGGGTTCCATTAACAATTACAAACAATTGAATTAACAAATATCTAATCGACAAAGTTTGGTAACAGGTCTTCTAAGGATTGTTCCATTCACTAAATGGACATCCACTGATCGAATTCTTTTGTCTCTTCCAGGAAAAACTTGTATAACACGATCTTTAGGCCAAATATTTATTGGGCCATTAGGATCAATTATTAAAACGATATCATTTTCTTTTAAAGGTACATTTTCTTCGTGCCATTTCGACCTTTTAATAAGAAAAGGTATAGGTATATTCTGTTAGCCATCGCTTCCAAAAGAAATCAGATAACTTCTGGGCAGCTCTCCGTTTTGATAAAAAATTTAAATTAACGTCTTCGGTACTAACACATGGTAGAGCGCTATATGATGGACCAATCAAGAAATGATTTGGTGTAAGTGGTTCCAAGTCTTCAGGATCGACAGATACATAAGTTAGTGGACGTGAGTTTACTATATTTTCAGCCTCAGCAATGACAGTACGAAGAACGTACTCTTGTGGTGTCCGCATTGGCATTATTTCGTACATTACTTTTTTGACACATTTTATAAGTCTTTCCCAGGTTCCACCCATATGTGGAGCCAATGGAGGATTGAAATTTCATTTTATTCCTTTCAATACGCAAAAACTCTGGATTTCTGTGATTTAGTTTTTGTAATTCTATGGATAATTCTTTCTTCTTGACCTTGATGAAAGCACTTTTTGTGAAAATATTTGATAATTAATTTGGAAATTGCATGTTTCGGGTCCAAAATAATAGGTTTTACAAAATTTTCATCCATATTCTTCATGTTACTTAATCTTCCATTTAATCTTATCAATTCATTCTTATCTAGCTCAGGTGAAAGATTAAATAGTCTGCTATTTTTGGCTACTCAATTATTTTTCTTTATTTGATGAAGTTCAATAGGAAAATTATCATATTGAATTTTTTTAAACAACAATATTTCTGCTTCTTTTATGTATCAAGGTCTAAGTCAACAGTTCTTTGATTCTCTTTCTTAATTATTTTAATAAATTTCAAGATAAAGGCTGTTGAGCGTCTTAAATTATTCCAATTAGAGAATTTCTCGACGTTTGGAAAAATAATATTTAATTTCGTGCTCATAACACAACATATCGATTCATTTTTCAACTCAAGACTATCTTTATCTGTTTTCACTTGACTTTCTTGTCTAGGCCAATTTGAGAAATCTTCTTTTAAAAATCTAGGTCCAAATAACCAGGTACTACAATCAGAAAAATCAATTGTTCCTGATCGTTTTGTATCTTGATCGGCCGAATTTAATTTACTCGCAACATATCTCCATTGAGTTGCATTAGTCAGGTCTTGAATTTCTCCTATTCGCTGAGCTACAAATACCTTAAATCGTCCTGCTTCTGATCTTATCCAAGATAGTACTATTTTGGAATTCCCCGGAAGAGTAACTTCTGAGCATGTCTGTCTTCTTGGCGAACTTCAACCTGCATAAACATTTCTTTTTTAACTGCAGTAAAGGCAAAACGTTTAATTCTAAAATTTATTAAAATTGTAAATAAAGAATTATATGAATCGGGTCCGGTCAATAGGCAATCATTCAAACTCACACCATGTGATTTTGAAGCGGCATCAAACACGATTCTAATTTTATTTGGTTTGTTTAGATTAGTAACATCAAAGTGCGGTAAATACCTACCATGATTTTTTATTATGCGTAGCAATTTCTTCGTCCGTTAATTTTCTTATACAATTTTTCTTTTCCATCTCTAAAATTTTCTCACAATAAATCCTACCAAATTCCTTATTCCTGTCCATCTTTCATTCTGTATAAAGCAGTCGATTTACTTTCAGGTAGTATAATATCCTCATCTTTCCAGATTAAACCCGTTGTTGGTTAATAATACATTAACTACTAATTTAATAAACGTATTTATTGCAAATATAACTGTTGAACGAGATACAAAATAAAAAATGATTCTCACAAAAAAAAAGGTTCGTTGTGGCTTCTTCAAGCTGAAGCGGGAGAATGTCTGGGCTACGTGCGACCCCCACTAAAGTCTCTAGAACCCGATCGCAGGCGAAGTCATTAAGCGCGCGTGCCAAATGTTTTTAAATTTAAAAAGAATACAATTTATTTCAATAGGAAATCATACATAACCGCCCCCTGAAAGCCTTCAGGCAAAGAATCTTTTAAAATAAATCTAAATCAGTTTTGTAGCGGTAGTACAGAAATTTTTACAACTGGTCTCTTAAATACACCAGAACGATTTTAAATAGACACTACGTGCACTATATTGTCAGGTCCAGGGTGAATTTCAGCGATGCGGCCGATACACCATTTTGATGGAGGCAAGCCGTCATCCTTCATTAGAACAAGAAGTCCAGGTTTTAAAACTTGTTGTGATTTTTGCTTCCATTTGCTGCGAGTCTGCAGAGTGGATACATCTCCTTTGCCCAGCGTGACCAAAAGTGTTGCACCAATTGTTGCAATCGCTGGTATTTGTTGAGAAGATTTTCTCTGACATCTAGTAGTGGAGGCGATGGTACAGACGTGAAGGTATCTCCAATTAAGAAGTGTGCCGGTGTAAGTGGAAAAAAATCATCAAGGTCATTGGATAGGGAGTACATAGGGCGGGAGTTCAAACAGGCTTCGATCTGACACAAAACCGTTGAGAACTCTTCGTATGTAAGCGAGACATTTCCAACAACTCGTTTCAAGTGAGACTTGATGCTTTTAACACCAGCCTCCCAGAGGCCACCGAAACGTGGAGCTCTAGCAGGTATGAACAGTGTTGCCAAAGCTACCCCGTTCGGGGTAGATCTACCCCTTTTAGAAACAATGTCGCCCTCTCGCTCCCCTCAACTAAATCTACCCCGCTCTAAATAATACAATCTAATCTAAGCTATGACACAAAAATATTGCGTCTGTTTATAGCTTATGAAAAAATTGAAAAATACTTGACAAATCAAAATTATGAAAAGCAATACTTATTTGTTTGTCTACGCCTATGATGAATAATCTCATTAAGAAAAATATTCGTACAGTTTTCTACGTCAACGTCAAGCTTTGTATTTCCTTGGTTCGGCCGGGTAGTGCAATATTTAACTTCGAGATTGCGCGACGCAGGCTAACGTCTACAGTGAGTAACGTCTAACATGATATAGTGACTTAACGTGATACAGTATACATTGACTAAATAATTGTTTATTTTCATCTGTTTCACGGTTCAGGATGTGTTGTGTTGTGTTTTGTGTAAGTTTGAAAAGGGAATTATCGGTCACCGTTTTTTATTACTGCGAGGACGATGTAATGTTTTGCCTGTGGAAATAATAATATGTAATGAAAAAATGGATAGGTGCGTAAAATAATTATTATGTATGACCGGGCCGCAAAGCACCTGTTTGTGTCAATTATGTCCTAGTTCGCGGGCGTAATTTTATACTTTTCGGCCCGCCGGGCCCCAACGTGCCACCCGGTAACTGCAGTTTCTTTTCGTAAATAACCACCTCTTTCCTGTATTGTTTATTATTTAACTATGAAAGTGGGTGCGTTCTTTATTTATCAATAATTTTTTTGAAATAATATTTGAATTAAAAGAATTAATTCCCCCATTGGAACATAAATAATTATGTACGTATTACAATTTAAAGACAGCTTTTATTAAAAAACGCTTTTTTTCATTTAAGCTTTGTGATAAGAACCAAGAAAATCAATGCTAATGGACCACAACGTCCCGAGCAACGTCCACGTCCACAACCACAAGTTGACCAAGACCCATATAAAAATCCAAAACCCGGAACATCAAAATCTCTCGAAGATGATGATATATCAGCAGTAGAATCATCTCATCAATCTGTTCAACAATATCTTTCTGAATCGGCATCAGACTCAGATAGTCATGGTCACGAAAGTGAAACTAGGGAGCCACCAAAAAAGAAAAAAAAGAAATCGTCAAAAATTTAAATAAGAATGGAAAAATCAATACAATTGGATAAAAGATGAGCAGAAGAAAAACCTTTATGTGTAGCATGCAATGTACAAATTCATTGTAACAAGTATAATTTGAAAAGGCATGGGCTCAGCACATCTCATAAAAAAAAATATGACTAAAGTAGAAAATGCTCCTAAAATAACAGAAATTATCCCAAGTGACAAGCAAAAAAAACATACAGCATTGGTAAAAATTGCCGAATTAAACATATGCATGTTCTTACAAGAGCATAATTTGCCATTTTTACTTGCAGAGCATCTAGGTAAATGTTTGCCACATATTTGTCCAGATTCTTCCATAGCAAAGTCATTAGCTTGCAGTCGAACAAAAGCTTCATACATTACGAAAGAATGCTTGGCCAAACAACAATTACATGAAATAGCTGATGTTCTAAAGCAAACGAAATTTTCTCGGATTATTGATGAGACGACTGACATCTTCACCGAAAAATCACCAGCTTTAGTCGTTAGATACTACGACGAAAAAAGTTATGCAGCCGTAGACAAATAAAAATGGAGAATTCTACTGCAGAATTTATTTTCAATACAATTCTCAATTATCTGGGAGAACTGAATATTGGCCGTAGATAACGCAGCGGTCATGATGGGAAAACAATCAGGTATTCAGGCACGATTCAAAGAAATACTTCCAAATATATTTGTACTCGGCTGCATATGTCACTCTTTTCATCTTTGCTCCTCCGCCGTCAAAAAGTTACCGAGAAGCTTGGAAGACTTTACCCGAGAAATTTATAATTACTTTGCAAATAGTAGCAAAAGAGTAGCAAAGCTAAATGAATGGCAAGTATTTGTCAATTTAAAGCCAAATAAAATGCTGCACCCAGCTCAGACCAGGTGGCTATCTTTACAAGTAAGTTAAAACTTAAAACTTTATTAGTTATGAAAACACTTTTATGGTACCTAAACGTTTTTAGGCAGCAGTCGATAGAATTTTGGAAAACTGGGACCCCTTGGTAATGTTTTGAGCAAGATTTACACTCCTGCAATAAAATTTTAGAGAATCTTAGGAATCCTGTGTATAAATTATATTTCAAATTTTTGTCGTATGTTTTAGATATCGTTAATAAGTTAAATTTAGAATTTCAATCCGAAAAACCTGAAATACATTTAATCCAGACCTTTAGAATACACTGATTCGAAATTTCATTAAAAGAGAACATATAGATAGGATTTCTATAAAAGATATTAACCCATCAAATCCTAGACTATTTGTAGAATTAGATAATAGTTATTTGTGCAACCCGTTGGAAAAAGCACTATTTTTCGTAACGAGCAGATTTCTGCGGAACGAGCGAAGCGAGTCCCGCAAAAGGAAGCGAGTTACGAAAAATAGTGATTCCAAACGTGTTCCACACAATATTTTTTCAAATTTTAACATGATGTGATCTTTTTTGATTCAAGTTGAAAATAACATAAAAAACGTGCTTCGAATAATCACACATGTGTAGATCGTCAAGCGTCAAATGAGTTCGGAGATGCTTATTTGTTATTTTGTTTTTCGTTACTATGCATTGCTAATTGCTATGGAAGCATTTAATAATGTATCAGCGTAGAGGTGTCAAGTCTGCATCAGTCTCCTATTATAATTTGCGAAAAAGTGTTCTTATCAAACGTTATAATTTATAAACTAAAAATTGAAGAATAACTATTCCAATGTCGAATTCTGAAAGCAACGACTGATGTACCGAGTGACATAGAAGAAGCGGCCCAATCTGCCTTATCCACGATCATTCCAAAGAAATCTAAAAGCAAATACGATTTGGCGTATGTCAAGTTCAATTCATGGTGCGAACAAAAAAAAATTCATCATTTGAACGAAAAAGTTCTGTTGGCGTATTTCCAAGAGAAGAAAGAAATGGGAAGTTCAACATTATGGAGTTTATATTCGATGTTAAGAACCGAATTGTCCCTAAACAAAAAAATTGATATCAAGAAGTACACAAATTTGGTCGCGTTCTTGAAACGTCATTCCGAAAATTACCATCCCAAAAAATCGAAAGTCTTAAGTAAAGAAAACATTGCCAATTTTCTGAGAGAAGCTGCCGATGCGCAACATTTAATGAACAAAGTGTAAGCCATTAATGCCTTGTTGTCATCATTATATCTTTCTCTGCGATCTGCCTATTTGTGTCCAATACTAATATATTTCAGATAGCATTAATTGTTGGAGTTGGAGCTTGTCGAAGAAGTGAATCAACTTTTCTTCGCGTAGAAAATGTATTATTTCAGGAGCAATTCGTTAGAGTGATCATACCCAACACAAAGAAAAAAGTATGTGGAGAATTTGCTATAACTACTGGTGCTTTTGATGGAATTAATTGCATTGAAATGAAGAAATATGTCCTGCTCAGGCCATCAATTACTAAGCATGACAGGTTTTTTGTCAAATATTTAAATGGGAAATGTGGAGTTCAACCTGTAGGTATTAATACCTTTGGAAATTTGCCGAAAATGATTGCCCAGTTTTTAAAGTTGCCAAACCCCTGTTTGTACACTGGTCATTGCTTTCGGCGCTCGTCGGCAACTCTTCTTGCAGATTCTGGAGCCGACTTGCTGCGAATTAAACAGCATGGGGGGTGGAAGTCCAATGCAGTCGCTGAGGGCTATGTGCAGAATTCCATGACGAATGAAGAAAATTGCCTTCAACATTCTTGGAGAAAGTTCCATTAGTTCCATGGAAAATACGGAAATTAATGCAACACAGAAAACTACTATGTTAGGCTATTGACTATGTCGAAAAAAAACGGGTGTAAAAGGAACTAAGACGTTAGTGGAATTTTATTGTTCAATATGTTCAATTGGTCCCTAAAGATAATAAAACCGCGGAGTGCTACCAGATATAGGGGTGCATTTTAAAGAGCATGGTGAGTTTGTCAGCTTTTTGGGTCTTCGGCTATAACTCAAAAACTATGTATTTTTGGTGAATAAATGCATTGAGGGTTTTTGTAGAGAATAAAATTTCCTATCGAAATGACATCTTTTGAAGTCCAAATACTTGTTTTTTCAACAAAATAAATCCAAAAAACAACTTGAAAAAAAATCAAGAAATTGACTTTTTATTTATTTTTTTTAAATTTTTGCCTATAATTTTTTCTGAATTGACTTAACACGTTCGCGGACAGTACGGCTAAAGCAGTCATATTCTTCTCCCTTGCCTAGGACATGACGTCTATAACAGTCACCCCAATTTTCTTCTATAAGCAAATGCGGCTCTAGCCGTCTTTGATACCATATAGCTACATATATTTTCAATTTATTAGTCCTGCCACAGTGTCTATTCACCTCAAAATTGTCCAGTTCACGGCGAAAAAACCAATTTACCACACCAAATACAAAAATTGACATTCTAAGCACAACATACTTTTAGAAATTGTCCGCGAACCTGTTAAGCATAGGCATTGCTTCATGAAAAACGAAGCTTATGTAATTTCCGTTAAAATAACGGCTGGTAGAAGTTCATACGATAAAAAATAGCCGAGATATAGACATTCAAATTTAGCAACTTTTTTTCGGTTTTTCAATTTTTCACCTTCATATCGTGTTATTTTTTATTCTAGTATGCTAGATCAATTTTTGTTCAGTAACAAATTATTTTGCAATACAAAACATGGAACAGGTTATTCCTAATTTCTACAGACACAGGATGCTTGGCAACCTTTTGTGTATCCACAAGCAATTTGCTCTAGCCAAGTTTGCGGGGCAGGAGGATTAACCGTCCGTATTGGTATTAAAATATGGTTTGACTTTGCCCAATCCCAGTCAAGTGTATTTAGAGCATTTTGATTCCACTGCTGTAGTTGGTGGAATGTCCTCAAGCCATATATATGCTGTGCAAAATGTCTAACAGACGCATACAACATCCTCTTTTAACTTAAAAGCGCGTTCTAAATCTTGTTACTTTTAAAAAATTGTATTCTTCCTCTGTAATCCATACAAATTTTTAAAATTCACAATTTTAGTCGAGTTAAAAATTAGTAGATGATGTTGCATACGGCAGTAAATCTCAAAATTCCAAAAAAGAAGTATATTATTTACTGATTATTATATTAGCTTAAATATAAATTTGGATACTTTATTTGAATTTGAGCAACACTACTATTGTCCTTTATTTATTGTAAAATAGTTTGTTGTTAATTGAATAAAAATAAATTTACCATGCAAAAAAAGAAAATATCACGATATGATGGCAAACAGTTGAAAAATCGAAAAAAAGTTGATAACTTTGAATGCCTATATCTGGGTCATTTTTTATCGTATGACTTCTACCAGCCACCATTTCCACGGAAATTACAAAGGCTTCATTTTTCATGAAGCAATTCCTATGCTTAAATCAACTCAGAAAAAAGTTATAGGCAAAAATTGAAGAAAAAAATAAAAAGTCAGTTTTTTGATTTTTTTTCAAGTTGTTTTTTGGATTTATTTTATTGAAACAACAAGTTCTTGGACTTCGCGGTTTCATCATCTCTGGGGACCATTTGAACATATTAAACAATAAAATTCCACTAACGTCTTAGTTTCTTATTGAATGACATAGTCAATAGTCTATGTCAGCTGGGGTCAATATCACCAATTGTTCAAATTGTGTTATCAATATGTATAATTACTTATAATTTTTTCCACACATATGTTATCGATTAGAATAAAATAAAATTTTCATAGTATGTAGAATATATTATAATAACATGTATTATAATAGCATAAAATAATATTAAATAAATACTTTAAGTAGTTTAGCCTTGAAATTACCACAAATTTTATTTCTGTATTTTTTGCAACTGATGGTGAAATCTACTTTTTCTATGAGCGTGCGCAAAAATGTTACTTTGCGCACTCATTTGCGTGCGCAAAGTTCAACTTTGCGCACGGAAACTCTTTGCGCACTAATTTTTGTTAAGCATAGTTACCGCATTTAAAATCGATTTTTCAATGTTTCGTGGGTTTCTTGATGAACTTATATTCAGAAAGAAGGGCCTGATGTTATTTTTGTTCTAATAAAGGCATTCGTTAGGTTTGTTTTTTCTGCCAAATTTTTGTATGGAGGAGTATAATACATATATAATATATAATATACCTACAGTGACCGCCAAAAAGTTTGCAACAAATGGGAAAATATTTTATTATTAAGATATCAAAAAGAATGTTACGTGGGATCAATTCAGCATACCTATCAACAAAAAAAAGCACTGTGACAGATGTCATGTGACCACAGTTATGGCGGTAAATTTAAAAAGTCCGCCTTAAATATGTAAAAAGTGGGGTAAGATGACTAGAAATCGAACAATTATAGAGAAGAAAGTGGTTCAGGATTCGATTTTACGTCTATGTGTCAATTTTTGAAAAGATATATGGATTTTTAATAAATATCAATTTTTTGGTCTGTTTTGTGGTGATTTGAAGAATATTAAAAACTTTTCGCAAAAATATTTCTAGGATTGAATTTAGAAAAAAGGTAATGGATCATTTAGAAAGATTTTATGATAATTCCAAATT